ATACTTTGAGTCTTTGCTAGTCTATTAAATTGTTTGTTATAGAAATGTCATTTTAATAAGAAAATAAGTGCTTACGTCTATTTTTACAATAGAATAGAACTTTTAAACCAGTAATCATGCTTTTCTACCCATATTAATTGCCTCAACAACGGAGAAGTACACGTACAGCACGAGGCTCATCTTTCGGATCTACACATGTAAGACTGGCAGATGTTCTGGATTTTTCTCGGTCAGGTATTTCAGTTTTCTCCATGGACAGAAATGCAGCCTAATTTAAGTAAAAGTTAATTTACAATTAGTATAAGGCTCGTCCAGAGAGCTACCATGCCCAGCTAATGTCGAATTATTTACTATTCCCTTAAATTGGGAAAAAATTGTTCTAACAATTTATGCAAAACAAAGCTAGTTGTGTATTTGCCAAGGACCAGCGATTGTAATCCTTTCTCAAAAAAAGTTTTTCCTCAGAAGATGCCATAGTTAGTATTCAGTGCTGAAGAATAGAAAAACTGACAGAGGCTTTGTATCTAACTCTTTTTCTGACTTTGACTAAAGCTTTGGATTAACGAATAAGTAAACGGTCTAGAACTAAACCGCAATGAATTGTCTTTTTATCTGTTAGAATAGAAACATTGATAAATCAAACTGTTCATGTAATTATTATACAAATTTCTAAGGTCAGCAGGAAGACGAGAGAAAAATTATACTATATGACTCAAAATAAATCTGATTCTACACCTTAATATCTATCACTAGGAACATTTAGAAGCTTGAATAACCATGGAGTATGGTATGAATAAGAATTCTCATTGTCAATTTCATCTTGCAAAACGTAGGACACCCACACTTAAATATAGTTTCTAGCATTTACCACTCATACAGCGTCGGCTAATGCTTCACAATTCATGGCTTGATATTCAATCATTTTGCATTTTCTTCGAATTTAGCCCTAATTTTCCCCATCCACATATTTTTTGTCTATCTTTTTCCCTTCAGCCTCAAGGCTGCACCGATGCTGCTATTCTAACGACATATCTTTTCCATCGCTTCTCATTTCGTGCCATCGCAATCTTTTTTCTGCATCTTTTTGGTAATTTCACAGTTTCGTAATGCATC